CTACATACATTTTTCTAAATCCTGAACAGCCCTTATAAATTCTTCATCATTTCATAATCTTCACGCTTCCATATAGGTTTTTATTATTTATTTTTTATTTTATTTTGTCTTACTTTTTATATTACTTAAATAAAAATGAATGAGTAACACATTGTACGAAAAATGCATGAGAGAAAATTTAATTATTTTTTATTATTTACTTGACTTAGTAGTTATTATTTAGTTGATGATAAGTGGTGCGATATCATCTTTTATATATGTTCGCAAAAATTGTTCGTAATACCATTTCCAATATTTTTGCATCAGTGAGAAATGTCATAAGCTATACTACGCTTGTGTCCAATTTTAAACGGAGGAATTAGGGGATTTGGAAATACGGGCGGTAATATCGTTTTACCAGTTTTTAATAAATGGACGACTCGTACAGAGAAATAAAAACTTTGCCAATTACGGTTACGACGAAACAGCAAAACGGTACTCGCGGGAGTGCGCCCGTTAAAATCTCACGGTAATTCTATACTAGATAAAACGATCACCATTTCTCGGATTTATATGAATCGTTTGACCAATTTCCTGCGAATTTTTCCTAAATAAAAGTAGCGACGCATGGCTTTTAACTTATAAACGATTAAAGGCGAAATGGTTCTCACAAATTATTTGTCAGGAATATAAATAGTAAAAAGAAATATATAATAGCTATTGTTTTTTAAATAGTAAATTAATAACAAAATATGTGCATGTATTAATTTTAGGAATAACACTTATTTTCGTAGAATTTTAATCGAAAGCTTTGTTACATTTTGCAATATGTATTTAATTATAAATAATACAAGTATATTTAATAACAGAATAATATTTGTACTAAAAACGATAAAATACAAAATATAACAATACGGTAAAATATGTGACACGCGCGAATGCAGCGCGTTTAGTTGATATCCCATAGGCAACTCTCTCTGAAGTCACCTCAAAGAGGAATCGATTTTCGTTGATGACGAGATCAAATCTCGTCGTCCAACATCCTACGTGGCTCTTAGACACGGGGATAATCCAGAGCTTACTCACGTACTGAAAGGCGACCAAGTCGAGCTTTCGCGCGTCTTTCGGCCGCTTCTTTTACTGTCGCGCGTGTGACGTAGCTTCGAATAATTCACAATTCTCCAAAGGATTTCTCGTCCACTGTTCGACTTTTTTTTAAAAGTTCATCTGAAATACTTTGTTCGATCAATTAAAGACTTCAATAGACTGGTCCAGTCTATCTCGATTTTAACGGATACACGAAACTCGTCGAAAGCGACGGTGATTTGCGCGAAAAGAGAAAAGGATGATTTCAGTGGAGGTACAAATAGAATACTGATCGTGAAATTGCAAAATAAGAAAAAAAAGGAAAGTGGTATCGCTATTTCATCACGTTTTGAAAAGTTCTGCATGTTTCAAAATCTGCATCTGTGATTCTCAGTATCAATTCTCGAAACTTTTGACAAAATATATAATTTCTCCATTAATTTACTTACTTGGCATTTAATATAATGACTTAAATTGCAAAGACATATGTAAACAATAGATCATTGTTAACACTATTATGATTCATTTACTATAAATTTAATAAATAACTGAAAGAAAAGTTACAACTGAAAATTTCAGGTAGTAAAATTACAGGGCAAAATTTTGTCTGAGGTAACATTTTTCACAAAAATATTTTTATCTTATACAGAATAAACAATTTTTATTTTTTACAAAAACATTACTATGCCATACGCACGAAATTTTTTTGAGAAAGTGATATTTTGCAATACCTAATGTGTTCCATGTGAACGTGGCATGCCTCCATGCTCGAGTTACACCGCCGTTGTTGCAGTCGTGTCTCTCTGATTTAACCCGATATCGCTGCCGGTCTGAAATTTAAGCTTGTTCTCGTCGTTAACCTCATTAACACAAGGCCCGCGTTAGTTACCGTTCCCGACATCCGCAATAAAACGTTATTTCTATCCGCGACAGTCAGCGAGGCCAGGTATATTGTCGGTCCGACTAAAAATAGGTTTCTTCACTTCGCGGTGGCGGACTACTACAGCTTCTGGAATCGCGCGCGCTGGTCGACATTTCGAAAATTATTTCCAGCGACATTTCCGACAATCTCACAGCTGCAACCACACCGAACGAAGTCTAGTTCGTCGATGTTTCACGCCGGCAACAATAACACAATTCTCGGGTGCGACGAATGTTGCTTCATTACGTGTGCGAGAATTCATTTCAGCGTGGTGCGCATTGTTGCAAGAACGATTCGTCGTGCCGCGAGACTTGGTGATATTATTGAGTCAAATTAAATTGCGGCAACAATAACTGCGGTTGCATACGTACCGAAATGTGTGCCGAAACTACCGGCAGAATTGTATCCATAGCGGAATAATCCTCGAGGACTGGCACGAGGGTTTATTGAATTCTGAAGCGAAAATTCGGTCGGATAAGAATGTTGCCCGACAACTCGGAGAAATAACTTGAAACTTTACATCGCGGTGAGTTTCGTGTATGCCGCGAATTCGCGTTATAACGAAATTCCCGAAGAGAGAGAGTTCTCGTAATATCGGAGACCCAAGAAAGCGAAAGATAAACTACGTTATATTACTTCGCCGCGGTATTTTGCCGGAAGTACTAATTTCATAATTGGATTTTGCTCACAATTCGATCGTTCGTGCATACGCAGAAGGAAATTGAATTTTATATTCGCACGTAGAAAATATTTTTCATATGGATGTTGGAAACGGGATTCTCGGATAGAATAACAATCGAATATCGAGCGATTAATAAATCGCAGAAAAAATTGCATGGAATATTGCTTCGATGGTAAAATGGTTCATCTAAAGTTAGTATAGTGTATCGATCCGATCTTTCCTTTAATTAAGATTTCCTATCTCATTTTACGTTTGGATATGTGTTACGAACGATATATACGAGTTGAGCTGTCATTCTAAAATGTTATTCAACGGCCCGACTGGATAAGATGAAAATGGGACGTCGGACGGAGGATTTAATGGTGCGCAAGAATCGCCCGTAGATGGATATCATTTCAAGACATATGTCCATGTAAAATCTGTCCTCTGACGTAACCCGTTGGTTCGCTCGATGCAATTTCGCTTTGCAGACCGACCCTTTGTATCCCGGCGTGAGCTGCGAATTCCAGAAAGGCATCCACGCGCGCGCCCTCCAATTTATTTCCGCTTCCGTTTCGATGCGCGAGCACATATCTATCCCTCCGTGCGATTGTTGCGACCGTGCATCGACGAGAGAAGTATCGTATGCAACATGCAACCGGGTGTGGTATCGTTTACTATGAGAAAGTCCGCAACGGCTTCTCTTTCAACGTCGCGTTGCACGTTGCAGTAAATCGCTCACGTAGAGTTGATTTGACAAAGGTGAACACCGCGACTACGTGTACAAGCTTTTTCAATATTTCAGTATTCATGTACATATGTATACTGAAATTTTGAAGAAGCTTGTGTCAGTTCATTTAACGTGGGACCATAATCTATCGCGGAATAAACTAAACCGTTTATTCTGGAATACATATCTTAAATGGGGACAATTATTACAGATTTTAAGTTTATGTAGGAAAATTACCACAAATTTAAGTTTCAATATTTATCGAGATCACTCTAAAATCGCACACCTAGAGTGATTAAAGTTTCAAATTTCTGATTCCATCTAATTTTACACCATTTACCTTAAACGATAAATTCTATTTCGAGAAATTCTATTTCATGCTTCAATTACCTATTTCGATTCCTGAAATAGGCCCGCGCTTTGACCTGAACTATCGCAGGATAACAATTGTATAATTATCGAGCGTTCAAATTGGTTGCAATAACATGTTAGCTATTATTCCGGATTACAACAATGCTAAACTGATTACGCGGTATGGATGGAAGTTTATTTTGAACCGAATTTCATGGTGTGTGTATGTTATATATCTGTTGCGGCAAATTATATCGGTCGCGAAGGTACAACGAGAGAATTAAGGGCTTTCATACATCATTAATACACAATAATATTAAATGACACGCTATTTATCCAATACGGGCCTGTTCTAAAATTAGCGAGTCAACGTGGTGTTTGTTGACGTTGGTGTTAATCGATTATTTCGTGATATTGCGCGGGATATATTGACCGGCATTGTGGGATTTTCAACGTGAATAATTCGCCGGCTATATATATCCGTAGTCGCGAGCCATGCGTTTAGGCTACTATCCCGAATTACTCACATTCGCCGTTCATCATAGGGCAAATTGACGGTGACGTTTATCCGCGCTGGAAAATATTGCCGGGCGATTCCATTCGTGTATGTACGAAATTCATGGCCCACTATATAACCCATAAATCAAATGAGAAGAAACGAATATCTTACGCCATTCACCGTTTGATGCGTACAGATTTATTTTCTTCATATTTATATTTTTCATTTATTAAGAATAATGATCTAATTTAATTTTTGCATTTTCACAACGTGAAAAATTATTAGAATCAATCTTATATTTTTCTCATTTTTGCTTTTACTTAAAAATAAAAATCGTTTACATTTTTCGTCATTGTGTGTATCACTTAACAAAAAAAAGAAGTAAGAATATTGACTTATTATTTTCTCAGTCCTGAAATTTTTCTTGTATTATAATTCAGTTATGTCTACACGCGTTGTGATATTTGTATTAGAATCGCATTTTCTGATGATAATCCAGAATTAATTTCGTTTTTAAACGAGTATAATATCATCTCTCAAACACACATACAAAAGATATTAATTGCGTTGCCTTAATCGCGAACAAATTGCAGATTTTCTTTCTAAATCACTCTTTCTTTCTTTCTAAAGTTATCACTTCAATAAAGTTCTGGGTTATTACGAGCCATTGAAGGTCTCCGTTTGCGTCACGGTGAACGTTGACTTTTATTACGGAGATAATTCCGGAGATTTGTGCGGACAATCAAACATAATGTTCACCGTTTGATTTCAGGATTCGGAGCTCTGCATTTCGCTCGGTCTGAGTCTGCAGTATCTCCGGGTGTCGGTGGTCTGCTGGTTGGCGGCGATGTGCCACCACCTGTACGCCACCGTGGCGTCGCTGCCGCGCCGGGACGACCCACCGACGTACATAAAGTACAGCCTGTTCGCCTGGGGCGCGCCGTTGATCAGTCTCGCCCTGGCGACTCTCTTGCAGAGCCGCGAAAGCCACGATTTCTGGGACGTCGTTGATCTCACTCCCTTCAACTGCTGGTAAGATTTCAGTTGTTGTTGACAAACTGTTTAACTGAATATATCTTGTTAATCCGAAATTTGTTTTCTATTATATTTATAATATACGTTTAATTTGTTGTACTTGTACAAATTAAGTACAATATAAAAATAAGGAAAGATAACAAGAAACTGGTATACGAGATTACAATATAATCGAATAATTAATTATTCTTAAAGTTCTTATAATGAAATAATTTTTTATATATTAATTCAAGATCTTAAAAAAAAGACTTATTAACTTTTAATGTTAAATATATTTTATTTTTGCATTAATCTCTTTTTTAATTAAATTATTAGCTTGAACTTCTGCATTACTCCCTTTTTATTTTCATTTGTATTTATCCGCTGGCCTGAAACTTCTTGACACGGCTCATTTGCTTCTCTTCCATTTTCACGAAGTGAGAGAGGCTCGTCCTGAATCCTTTATATCATTTTGCTTTTATTCTCTTGTTCGCATTTTACATGTCTGACTAGGTTTCCGCGGATCTCACAACGTTTATTTTCAGTTCTATTCAAGAATCACGGATTCTATTTAACAATAGGATAAATATTATATTTTAGTATGACTAGGTTTGTGCGGATCTCACAATGTTTATTTTCGGTTCTATTCAAGAATCGCGGATTCTATTTAACAATAGGATAAATAGTGTATATTCTTCCCTCAAAAAATACAATCTGTGAAGTAAAACAAACCGAAAATTGGTTGTGAAGTAAATAAAAATGTAAAATATTGAAACAAAAGATTTTATCATAACACCCAATATTATTTTAATATTTTATTTATCCAGCGCAAAGAACAATACATCTATTATGATTTAACTTTATATTATTTTAACCGCGATAACTCTCATTTTTAATTTGGCAAAATTAAAAAACAAACCTTTTGTTAACAATTACATTTTATATTTATCTACGCGATTTGCAGAGTGATTTTGTCAGTTTGTTCCATCTGTTCCTCGGGTTGGGAGAAAATCGTTTTCCCCGTCGGCTAAAACCTACCGCACCGCGAAAATTGCCAGGCATTTGCGTCTCTCTTCGTGAGCGCGTGAGTTAATGCAGCTCTCTGTTCCTAATATGCGCATTCCGTCGTGCTCGCGTTCCGCTGCTGCGACCCACTTTATTCGCCGGGGGTTGCCAGCGAAGGGGTATATAGGTGGAGACGACACGGCAGCGCGCGCGCGGTAACGATGATGGGGGCTCGGTTTTCCCCAAGCCGCAAAGAATCCTCCGGCGGAAGAGCGAACGGAGTTCTTTTTCCACGCTCGAACTCGTCGAGATATTGGACGGGGGATGAGCGGAAACGTCGCGGTTCGTCGGAAACGTCCTCCGGAGGAATGTTGCGCGTGTGTACAGCGCACAGATCATTTATTTATTTCCAGATTCTTCCGCCCACCGTATCCCATCTCTCTCTCTCTCTTTCTTTCTCTTTCTCTTTCCACCTGCCTCTGTCTCACGGCGAAATCCCGTCGAACGACCAATTTTCGCTAAATCAGATTCGCCCGACGGCGAACCGGAATACCGTACCAGAACGAGATCCTTGCTATTTTTCAAAGCAAGATATTCGATAAGAGCATGTATATCGTGTATCATTGGTATTAGGTAGATATGCGATATTTTTCTTTATACCCCTGTGGCAAAATAATATATTCCAAGCTGCTTATTATTTGCTTTACGACATTAAATATATTAATAAAATATAAATTAAAAAATGAAGAGATTTTTCTTTGCTTGCTTTTGCAGAGCAATTATACGTGACAGTATTAATTTTGAATATTAAACATTATATTAAGAAGAAATAATAGGAGATTAAGATATTAAATTTCTTCAACATTAATTAACATGTGTTTTATATTAATTAATGATAATATGTATTGTGTATTAAAATTTCTATTACCTATATTGTGCAAGCCTGAGATACCGTGAAAATAATTTTCTTCCTCAAAAATTCGTTTGCGTGGGCGCGTTCAACTTTCAAGATTCATTCGCGTATTTTTCCTCTTTTCTTCGTCATAATTCAAGATTGTTGACGTAGGTATTAAGGATCTAATCTGGCTTTTAATCTCTCGGCGTTTTCCGAGAAGAAGGTGAAGTTGACGTAACTGTAACGAAATCAATAATGGGTACTCGTAATAATTCCAACATTCAACGTAAAAATTCCACTGTTGTGAGCATTAAAAAAAGATAAAAAATTTTAAAAAGGATAAAACTAGAATTAAAATCTTGCGAAGTAGAAAATATCAGTATTTCAATGTAGTTTCGTGCCATAAAATTTCGAACTAAAAATGGTTAGAAATGACTTGAATTTTTAAGTTCCAAGTTGTTCGCATCTCTGTATATTTCTTTTATTCTTATAATTATGCACATTGTTATGCAAGAGTAATCCTGTAGATTTTATTTTGTATTTTATTTAAATTTTGTGTTCTTTACAATGATTTCAATTCGGAAGTTCTCGAGGGAGTCTCGTTTCGTCTGCTTGTGAATATCCGAGATGCAATCGGGGAAAATAAACGGCGGGGAATATTTCTTTCGATGCGACATGTATAAAAATCGAACTGCCGACATGTGCAAAGTAGGCGAGTGCCGAAAATAGGTATTCGATATCGCCGAAGTGCTTCCCGATAAAATCGCGCGTTTTGTAGACACTCGCTCTTTGACCCAATCTGTTCTCGCTGAAGAAAACGACGAGATTTTGGGTACTTCTTCCGCGTGTTCCTGAATACGATTTATAGGGTGAGACTTAATAAACGAGAGTTGATAAATATTTCCGTCATCTTTCCTCACGTTTCTCCCGTTTCATAAGAATTGCAACGCCGAATTGAATTTTTATGCGATGAGCAATACTCTTAGCTACGCTATATATTTTTCAGGCACTTTATTTGGTGTACCTACATTTTTTCATATACATTTATCATAGAAATTGTTATATAATTAATTAAATCAATATGAATACGTGTTTATAAAAATAAGCTTCGTATTAGATATCTTTTTTATTTACGGATATTTAATTTTTCTTTACTTTTATTAATTTTAGGTTTCTGGGAGCCACGGCGACAGTTTACGCGTATGGTTTACCGGTCGTGCTGCTACTATTAATTTCCGGTTACTACCTCGTCAAGGCTGCAATCGTGTCAAGGTATATCTTTTTATTACAATCGTGTCAGGATATCCTTTTATTACGATCCAATATTAAGATCTAATATTAATTTAATAACTGATTAGATATTTCAAAAAAAAATATATATATATATATTTACGTAACACGTGCAATATAACGTGCGTATAATGTATTCCTAACATTTCCGTTATAATTAATTACGGGCTCCGAATACGTTTTCCTTTACGCGTAAAACTCGCGGATTGTATACAGTTTGTTACTCTTAGGGTGACTCATACATTTTCATTCTCGTAATTTCAAACTTTGCTTTTCCGAACTATCGCGGCCCGAAAGTTTCGCGTACGCCCCCTCCCCCCTTTCACGGTCATGGATTACGTCACACGTCGCGTAAGTCGCGCTCGTATACATGCAGGTACACGTGCAGCATGCAGCTCGAGATAAAACAACGCGAGAAGATGAAGAGGAGGCGGGCGTTGCAGCTAATGCTCTTCCTGAAGGTCAGTCTGATCGTCGGTCTGGTGGCCGGTTGCGGGGTGGCGTCCAGGGTCTGGAAAATTCCTTTTCTATGGGCGGTTTTCTGCACGGGCCATTCCCTCCAGGTATGTAGAGCAAAGATATGCGGGGTGCAAAAAAGCACACACGCACGGATCATTTTGCATCAGGTACATAAGCGAGATATGCGGTGCATAAAAAGAGTCTCGGAGGCGGAAGATTCACCGAGATGCCATTTCTCTCCCAGTTCTCCTTTCCTAACGATGTACCATATATACGAGCGCAATATTTCCGACGCAATTTCGATGGATTATCGCAGTATACGACTGCGAGTATACGAGCGCGCGTTAGAGCCTGACGTTGAAAGATGAGAAATCATTAACTCCCCGCAAGTGACATCGTATTTCATCGCGTGTCTGATATTTTTAAATTCAAAAAATTTATGAATTAAGTGTTATATATTTTTGAAAATTACGTATTTTTATGGACTATTTTTGAAATCGTTGGGCAGATTATTATTCGGACTATTATTCGAGCCATTATTCGGCACCATTATGTGCGCGCGGACCGTCACGTGGACCATTATTCGGACCATTATTCAAACTACATTCTCTTCCCGTCGTTCGATCACAATTTATCTCAAACTAAATTTAAAATTTAATTTGATTTCTTGTAAATGCAAATATGCCAATTATCACGCGGTTCGGTATTCGCTGACGATGGCGCCGATATTACACCGACTTCATTTTCCAACATTGAGAGATCTCGGTCGAGTCCTCGACGACGCTCAGCGTCGCGCCGCGCATAAAGAGGCGAAAAGGGCACACGCAGGAACGCGCGGAATCTCTTTCCCTCGTCCTTTTCCGGCAAGTTCCTCGAGGAACTTTCCGTCCCTGACGCGTTCGATTTCGCGTCAAGCGTAAACGGCTTTTCACACAGCGTGCTTCTTTCTCTCTCTCTCTCTCTTCCTACACATATATAGCGCGTCTCCATATTTATTCCTGCGAGCTGAGCGAGTTTGCCGAGTCGAGTGTTCTTCAGTAGCGGAAGCTTTTCGCGATCAACGAATCTCGAAAGGATAGAAGACGTGCCGATCTCCCTTCTTACTTCACTTTACTCGGTCTGCGTCCAATTGCACGCCTTCATCCTGTCGTGTTCGTCTTTCCTTCCGTTCCTTCCTCGGTTTCTACCTTTTATCGCATCGAGAATTTGAGACAGTTTCGATTTTTCAAGTAAAAATCTCTCGAGTTTTCAAAAATCAATCAGTAATTAAGCACTTATTTGAATTATATTTTTAATATTGTGTACATTTTTCTTCCCCTTGGCTCCTCGTTTCTTATCTTTCCCTCTTTCCAGTGGCACTCAAGACTTCAAGACGTTTATGATTTTTTAAAGTATAAATCTTTCTATTATAAATACATATATACATATAATAACGTAATAGAAAGATTTACTGTTTTAAGAAATCACAAACTTCTTGAATGCCTTTCGTCATTAGTAGGGACAAGAATTTAGAACAGATAATTTCTAATTTCTCTAAATGTATAGATTTCAAGCTCTCCTACTATTTTTTTTTTTAAAGATGACTTAAGTTAGCCATGCTTCTTTGGTGTGTTCAATGGTATAGCTTTATCTAACTTGTTGTCATATTACACATGACGATTCTATTACACAGGGATCGGCGGTGGCACTCTCCGTCGCGTGTAACTGCAGGGTCCTGAAAGTCTATGCCAGAAAATCGCACAAACAACAAGACCATCAGGTACGAGCCCTCGCTGAGAGAAAGTTTCGTTTGTCCCAACTTCGATTAAATCCTCTCCTTGATACTCCGATTGCTTGCTGCTTTTCTTCACTTATGGTGTAGTTGTTTCGTATTATTTTATTTCGTGTTACTTTGAAAAATTGATTTTGACGAGTGATTAATTAATCCTTATCAATTTTAAATTGTCGCTGTCTTTCCTACTTGTAAAACTGCTCTTGCCAGAACTTTTAATTCTCTTTTTAACATTGTCAGAAATCCTCGAAAATATCGCGAACATTTCTTGAATAACATGTTGATTTGGAATAATCTATGAGTCTGAAGAAAGACAAGCTTCGTGGTTTCCTACGCTCGGAGGAATTAAGTTTTAATGGGTTAACAGCGGTTACAAATTTCTCGAGTCGAAAATACGCGTGTCTGACCTTCCAGCTTGCCGCTTTTCACTGAGAAAGATTCTCCTGCGCAAATTATTTAATCTAGTTGATTGCGGTGCGTCCTTGTTTTCCAGGTCAGACTGAATTAAACTGTCGCGTTTCTTCTACTCCTTATTTCAGTTTCCAATTCTATGTCTCGGTTTATCTGAATTTATTTATCGCATATCAACGTCTAATACCCAAGAAACCTACAGCTTATCTACTTCGGACCTAGGCAAAATATCCCGATCTTCAGTTTTCCTCTCCTTTATCTCGAAAAAGAAAGTCACTTTAACAACAAACGTCTTTTGTTTGAGAATGCAATTTATAATCTATGATGATTAATATACAAGGATGTACAGTATTGCTGGTAACTAGATTTATCGTTGGTAACAGAAACTCTCTCGTCTTCGTCGTTATTTATGTGGCTTAGACAAGCGCTTAGTTTGCCTAGACACAGTAAGCCTTTCGATACAGCGTGCGACCTGACGTTGACGTTTGCAGATCGCAAAATCGAGCAGTAGCATGCAGCTGCTCGCACCAGCACCGGATCCGGTTTAGGCGGATCCTGAAACGACCCTCCGGGACGGAACGGACAGGAACGAAGAGGAAAATCAACGAGTGGCGACGGCTGGTGTCTCTTTCTCCGCGAGCCATAACTATTTTTACATCGAAAATATACTGACATTTCCCTCTTAACTTTGCCGTTTCTCTCTGTGACCGCGATTTTTCTCCGTGACGTGCGATTTCAGCCTCGATTGCTTCAACTATTCCTTTCAACGCGATCTTTTTTTCGTTGTCTAAGATGGGTAGAAGGTTCTTTCAGAAAATTTGTGGAAACTGAAAGGAATTGAAAAGGAGGAGGTAGAAAATTTGTAAAACTTTCGATCGATGGATGTTGATAATATTCTGAGTTGTTATTTTCGATAATTTATGGCAGAATTGTTGTAAAAAAAGATGTACGTCCCATTACAGTTCAATATAATTCTCGCTCTGGTCATTAAACATTACTTGGTCGTTATTATTCTCAGAGGCTCGAAAGGGCTGGAAATTCGAGTCCTTTTGCACGCGCGAGCTGTACTAATCCACTCGTGGACTGTAATTATTATTAATCGTGTTCCACGTGAGGCTTGCACAAACAATCCTAATTTTGACGACTCATTATGCGATCCATTATTTATTACGCTCTACAAATCTCGATAAACTCTCGAGCAATGAATTATAACTATTATACTTAGCGCAAGTCCTAAAAAAGTAAAAAAGTAAGAAGAAGAGTCAAACTTTTCAAGAGAAGGCAAATTATAAACTTCAACTGTTCAAAGTTTTTAAAATAATGCTGAGAGAACTCGGAGAATTAACTATAGTTCACTAAAGCGGATTGTTCCTCGGACACGAAGTTATTAATTATTTCTGCGTATGGTAAATTATTAAACGCTGAGGAAACATGAATTTAAATGAATATGAATAATTAACTCTTAATTGAACTGAACTGAAAATTTGTCAACTCCAACGTATCCTTAAATGAGCTTAATTTAAGAGAGATCGATTATAATTAATTTTTCATTTTGATCTTACGCGCATTCGGCAAGTTACTGCAGCGACTGATTTACGAGACTCGAATCGCACGTTTCCGTAGTCCTAATCGCATTCTGCAAGTCGATTACACATGATGTTGCGCGATGTTATAACGCGAGGGACAATTTAATACGGTTCCGATATGACTAATGATTTTACGCTTCAGCGAGAAGCGCAAGCAGCGGGAAATGTGCAGTAATGCGTTGCAACTATCCCTAATGTGATATGCATATCGTGTTAAATACATTATAATTCTGTATATATAATTCCGTGAGTGACGAATAGTCGCTCTCTTAATTATTTTCTATGTACAGTATTGCTCGGTAAACTTCAATTTGTGATCCAGAAACATAATTATATAATTATTACCTTACTATAACTTTTCTTGGGATTTGATTAATTAGTAAAAGTATCATTGTTGAATTTAGTGAATATAAATATGTATTATATCGATAATACAAATTTCTCATTATAAAAATGAATAATGAGATAAATGTACACACAGAGAGTTGAAAAAAGAAATATCACTTATATATAATTTTATATCTAGTATTTTTCTCAGAGAAAATTTTCCATTTTTTGACGAAAGCTCTTTGGACGAATTTATCGCAAATTTTTAATACCTGATGTTAAATATCGCGAATTTCCGTAAACACGAGCACCGTACAAACAAGAAAAATTATTTTTCTTTTTAAACATGACCTAGATTTGCCGGATTGTCCCGTGGGGGATTAATCCAGTCTTCCGGCTCTCCACAATAGAATTTTAATGCGCAACGGGAAAAGTTATATGGTTTCATATCAAATCTCTGGATCTCGAAACTGGGACGAGCGATACGTAGGTTGGATCGTCATCGTGATCGCTGTTAGCGTGACTTTCTCGCGATGATGAATACCATAGGCGTGAAGCCTATACGTCATACGCCGTGATTCAATTTGCAGAAGTCACTTAAGGGATGAAGTTCCGTGCTTCGAGAGGAGGTGAATCGAGAATTCTAATAGAAGGCACCGTCGGTCGTTTACGGGATTTACTTCGAAATCTTGTGTCCCTTTGCGTTTAGGAGACCCCGTTTAACCCGCGGGGGTCCGGTGATCGATCGATCGATCGAAGGGTTGGCTTTCCTCCGCCTCACGTTGCTCGACGCTCCGGCAACAAATGCGGCGGCGGACTGAAACCACCGTGCCGTGGCGTGGCGCGTTGGTGATGTATCGATACCTATTGCTCCCATTTCGCGAGCGAGGAAAGCATTCGAACGCCATCGTTTCTTCCCGCTGAATGGCATCTAATCAAGGACGAGAGCGGTGTATAAATTGGGCGCGCTACGAGCACCGACATTTGATTAAAGTGTGTGTATATATATATATATATATATATATATATGTGAAAGATGCTATATATATATAAAAGAAGAGAGTTTATATATAAGATGGTTAAGAGAAAATACAGAAAATAGTACTTTAATTCTTGGTAAGAGAGCGACGGTTGAAAATGTTCTATTATACTACGAGAGTAAATGAATGTTCAGGTATCTGTTGAAAATAAGAAATTTTTTAAATATATATTAGCTATCTCTCTCAACATCGTGATAAGTATATTTAGCAGTGATAGTTAGTCTGTGTTTTAAGCCGTTTTGAATTAATCAAAATCTCGGATTAGATATATCAGCTCCCTTTCCGAGCCGCAAATAAGTCCCAGTCTACAATAGATGTTTTAAGCCCTTGGCCCTAAGAAATTGACCAATCACAGTCAATTATTCTTTTCAAATTTAACTGTGATTGAACAATTTCTTAAGGCTTAGGGCTTAAAACACCTATTGCAGACCGGGACTAACGTAGTCGAAATGATGGCGTACGATTGCGTTTGTTTAACTGCATATCGGAACGCTGTGAAGGTATATATGAAATGGGTCGAGGAATGAAACGCAGTTGGTTTACTATCGGACGTTTGATCCGTTAACGAACGAGAAACACGAGCGAGTGAAACACAGTAAGTACTCAATGTAGGCCGACATATCAGTGTTGAATGATGCCCTTGAATTTTCTAAACATCGAGCGGACCGAATGCCGGACGCGCGTGATCGTTTGTCCGAAATTTCGTCCCTGCGCGAGGTTTGCTTGATCGATACACGTCCGCGAACCCACCGCCTGTGTACACAACATCGACGAGAGGAGGATATTCGTCGAATCGTGCTTCGAGAGTCGCGCGATTAATCGCCGTCTATCTCGCGACGGGGAGGTTTCTGTCAATCGATGAATAATTAGGAGCAATTATGACGGTAATTGCGACATTGAGATAATTGTGGACCTTTGTATATGTTCCGATAATTCAACGGATAACAGATTTTATCCGTTTTAACGGATAATCATTGTAAAGCTAAGAATTATAACTGCACGTTTATTGTTCTTTGTAATATATACAATTTTATTAAGATATTAATAACGTTAACCACTATTATTCAAATATTATACATCAATATTCATTTTTTTATTTTAACTTCTGACTTTTGTCGTCAATTATGTCATTGGAACATATCACAATATTATCTTCTCATAATTATTTCTGAGCCGCATGAAACCATAGACTTGAAGATATTGAAGCGTTAAAAATATTTTTCATTTAAAAATAAATTTGAAAGAAATTTTTGATTTCGAAGATACTTATTATAATTTCTTAAATTAATTAATTTTATTTCGTTAATTTAATAAGAAGGTAATTTGTCTACCTACTTTTTATGAGAAGGATATAACTTACAGGATATATATTATCGAGTTCAAAACTGACATATCTCCATTTCTTTTATATCTTTCTTATATTTTCTTAGGATATGTTATCCCTTCGTCTTCTATGATTTAGTGATGCCATATGAGCGGAGAGAAATTTGCACGATATAAGTAATATCTAAAATCCGGAGACAAATACGGTTCCTGTAAAGGGGTCTAATCTTCCTGTCGCGAGACGTACGTGTCATATGGGACATATCGAGGCGTGTATCCTCCATCGTGGATGCCCCATCGATCGCTCAATCGTGGCGTTACACGTTCACGCAAACGAACCCAGACCAGATTCCGCATACGCAAGCTTGTCTGTATCCTCGGTCAACGTCGCGGTATCAAGCATATCCTGCGAACGCGGTATCGACCAATCGACTACTAGGTAACAGGATTCAACGTGTGAACGTATATAGAGAGACGTATGATTATCGATCTCTCTCTCATCCGAGAGAAATCCGTGTGCGTGTTATGTGTGCGTGCTTGCGCGTATATATCCGCGCGATCGCGTACGCGGTGGTTTCGCGGCCGGCATTCCCCCGCGACGCAATTAACGCCCGATAATGATCTGTTGCAAATCTGCGTTAATGCGCTTATGTAATCGCGACACGTGTGTACATACGTGTAGAGACGCATGTAATCACGGCGAAATAAATATTTTGAAACCTAAAGGAGAGAGGGAGATGCTCTCGCCTCTCCGAGTCTGCGTCGTCGGGCTCGTCCCCGATTTTTCACCACTTCCGTACGATTTCCTGATCTCCTTGACCGCCCGAACGGAAAATCCGTCGAACGACGTAAAGCGAGTAATGGAGTCCTCGGGCGGATCCTTTGCCGATTTGTTTTACAGCACCGCGATAAGAGCGGAAGAGCGAGTGTCTCGTGTTCGGCGATTATTTTTCCTTTATTACTTCGCGAGATTTAGGGAAGAAGATTTTATTACACCCGGGGTAAGGATTTGTTCCTCTCGCGAGTCTAATATATCTGCAGTCTGCCTCTCGGAGGGTGTCCCAGACGTTCTCGCTTCCCGTTATACTTTGTTTTTCGCAGCGCACTGAATCTTCCGACGACGAAAATACGTGGAAACACTAAAGGGGAGGGAAAAAATATTGAGATAATACCGCGCGGTGTACAATGCACGGGGGTGTAGGAGGAGGATTAATGCTTATAGCCCAGGGCACTTCATCCGAGCTATCGATTTTCCGAAATACAGAATATGGAATACGGATGACTCGGTTTAGTGCCTTTCGAGCGAGTGGAAGAGCGGCTCGTCCGTGTCATTTCTCTCCCCGTTCTCTCTCCCAAACGGACCTGACATTTAATTATCGGGAATGATCGGCCGACGGTCCGCGACGCGACCCAAGTGCATTCGTTTTCAACCCGCCCTTTCGCTGCAATGCACGATTTGACGACGGGCGACAAGCGCTTTTCAAGTGCGTTTTATTCCGGAAAACGTGTTTCACACGTAATACATTTCTTTTTTTTTCACTCACAAATTTCCGACAAACAAATTTATATCTGAAATATTTATTATTTCACTACATTACCTTATCTACGTTATAATATATATAAAAAAATTATAGAAAAAGAAATTTTTGAAGTTTTGAAATAAGTTTTGAACGCTCGGTATTTGCCGAACGATAACAACGATGTGGCCGTATCGACATGGAATCGTGATGGAAGATGAAATAATAGCGACGTGATAATGTCTTTCTTCATAATACAGACCCGCCCTGCTCTCGATATTAATTTCCACAAGATGGGAAAAAAACTTAATAACGCGTCCCATCCTGCACTCGCCATTACCCGCGCTAATTTCTCCTTAATTAACTCCGTATAATTACGCGCACAGGCTGGACTTATCTCGTGAATTCGTAATTCCGCGCGAGGAGACGTCCTCGAGCTCGGAGTTAATTAGAGCATTTCAAGCGCGTTCCCCTTCTTACCGAAGGCAGAGGAAAAGATATTCTGGACCAAGTTGGTTGTTGTTACTCCGAGGATGCTCGGGCCGACAATGGCATTCGTTAACGTTCTCAAGACTTAATGCAGGGTCGTTAAAGAAAATGCTCTAGCGTCGTCCTTTACGATGTCGTATATATAAGTAACTGTGGATTTCTGGCACAATGATCGACACCTCCGCGTGTTTCCCGTTACGCTATTCAAGCGAGGAAGACGCTATTGAAACGAATCCGTATATATACTCTTAAAGCCGCTCACTCAAGTTTCCTTCAACAGATAGGCACTGACGCAATTTTTTTTCCACTGGAATTGGGAAACTAAAGTTATAAATGATGCTTGAGGATGCTCGAACACATTTTTAACCGCGCCGGACAAAGGAAGATAAATGGGGATTGTATTTCAATGAATTATTATTGAGTGAAGTCTTGAGAAGTAAAAAATTAATGATTATAGAGTATAGAGTTATCCAGCATTGAAAATTTTGGCGAAGCAGTAAACATTAAAAACGCGAGACAAAATATTTGAGAACTAGTCTTGACACAATTTTTTATTGTGTTTTAACTATTTTAAATTTTGTTAAAAAATATTATTGTGTGCCGGGTGAACGAAGTTATTTTTATAACTGAAACAAATTTTCATTATTTTACTTTTAAATTGCAAAAAAAAAACAAGTTTCTTTTCTGTTCAAATAAAACAAGTTAGTAACCAACAGATTAATGGTTTTTCTCCGTTACTGCGCTGTGGAAATTGGATTACCTCGGAAGCAGTAGTCAAGAAAGAAAGGGAAATATTGGATTAAAGACACGTCCATCTATGGGCATTGAATAGAACGAAATGGGTGCATCGTAATTCTTAGCTCTCCAAAAAACGGGAAGATTAAAGTGAAATTTTTTGGAACAGATATAATTTTATAAATTAATTTATCATTAATACGGAATAAATATTATATCATGAATGTTGAAATTTTACGTCAAGAAACGTAGGTAATATAAATTTCATATTATGGAGTTTATTTGTATAAAATATAAATTAAGAACTTTATTTGCACATATCATATTTACATATGAGATATTATAGATATCATACTCATATTTACACATGATGTAGAATAATTTATTAATTTTATAATATGAAATCAGAAACATCTCTTCCCTTACGTTAATGATAAATTGTAATAAAAATTTTATTCCAGAAATATAAATAATATGTAAATTCTATATTTCATTTTAAAAACGTATAAGATCAATCTTAGATATTTACTTATACATTTTTGAGAGTTTTTAGGAAGTAAATAACGATATAGCTCTCGAATGAAATCTCATGTATACAAGCCTTCGTCAGATTCTTACTCATATATAATAATTCTTGACTCATGTTTCATTTGTATTTACAAGCGCCAAATGTATGGGCGGGTGTTGTTATTGTGACATAGAGTATTGGTCGCCTTCTAAACTCCGGAATATGTTCTGCAGCGAACAGGAGATACCTTGTCGGTGCCAGGATGTCTGGAGTCGTCTCTGACATCGACCCGCTCTTTTTCTCTCTCAAGGAACCAAGGTCATCCATCGAACTGACCTATAATCCCGATTCGCGAATCGCGCATGACCATATGTGCCCGTTATCATCGCGCAGTGCGTTTACTTCATCGCCGATATATCCCATTCGAGGCATCTGTTTTTCGGCAGATATCCTCAGATAGAAGACAACGAATAATATCGATAGTTATATTTCCTTACAGGGCGATATATAGGATCTCGACATTCTTTATTTAAAGTTCAGATGTACGAAATGTCAAAAGACTCGATTTAGAAAGCCGACGTAAAAGGTCTGATCTTTTTCTCCGGTAAATCCCACATTTATCTTTGAACTTTGCTAGATCTAATCCTCAATCCCGAAATTTGCTTTAAGTTCAAGGATTAAGATAAAAAATTTCATCTTTTTCCTCATCCTGTCGTACGCGCAACTTATTTATGTAAGTTTTCGAACAGTTTAAGAACAACTTTCGCTTTATTCGCGGGATCTCGCGCGAAATTTCTGCAAATTGCAGCTTCCTCCTTTTTTCTTATTCTACAGATCTACATCATCCCGACGAAGCACTTGGAAAAGTAATAGCAATTATTATTTGCGTTGGTGCATCGACAGTAATTCCGATAAAGTGCGCTTCTATCCGGCGCGAGGGTTTTCGTTTCATTTCGTGTTTCCCCGAGAGTAGAAACAACTAGTCTCCCTCCGTTTTTCCCGTCAATGAAATAGGTACGTTTCTCTCAGAGTAGTCGCGGGCGCGTTTTGTTTCTCGTGCTTTCGCCGGTGCATCGCGCTTGGAAATCGCGCTGCAGAAAATAACAGGTGGTTTTCTCGCGCACTTAAACGCTGGCGTATCCGATGGCGCTCAGCCACCATCTGTGCGCTAAAATCTGATAAATAAAACAAACGCTCGCCGCTTTATTTCCACGGTCGTGGTTGCAACGGTAAGGAAAGCCAGAAGGTTTTGCATATTTTTGGAGCGTTTCACGGTATAAATTTTTAATTACATTATCTACGCACCAGTTTTACAAAGGAAATATATAGCCAAACGTTTTGTTTTTATCTTGGAAAACTTTTTGAAAAAATTACAGATTAACTTCTTTGTTTCATAATTTTGTGATATTCATAAAAAACATGATAAAGCTAGACATTTTCTAAACATTGATCAGATTTGTTATAGAATTACAGGATTTATTTGAGACATTAGAATTTTTTGCTTTTACGATGCACTGTAATCCAAGAAAAATAATCAATGAACGACAGCTAACAAAATAACGATGAACAAATATCCCGTCAGAGAGACGTACGTCATAAATTTCAGGGTTCTGTTATTTCGTCGGCCCGTTAAAAGGAGATTTATTGCGAGGTAAATGCAGAAGTGATATTTCAATGTTGACCAACGCAACGCAATGCGGGATACCAAGGTATCGCGCGACGCTCCGCTGTAAAATCGTTTATAGCCATCCCTGGCGGAATTTTTATTTGCGCCCCTATACCGGCAACGCGCGATGAAATATGTATACTTACGAGAATACGTACTTTATGAGAATCTCTTTCTTTTTTTTTCCTTTAACGGATGCGCTATCATTGTGCCGCAATAGTAGCGACTGCGACCGTAATTCCGCCTTCGCGAGAAATTGAAAACTCGTGTATTTTACCCCGCAAGGATAACAACATTCCCTTCCGTTAGTATCGAGCACACGGGAGATGCTATGCCGCAGACAATTATCCTCGTACGCAGTTGCCGACTTTATTAAGTCGAGCGCAATATGTCCCACTCGCACAATGAAAACTCCCTCAAGGCGGCGTTAAATTAGATATAGCGATCTGCTGCCTTTATGACGTCTGTTGAAAATGATGAAAGAGGGAGAACTCGATTAAGCTTTTCACGCTTCCAAGGCCATAAATTTCAAGCGAAAATTAGAGATATCGAGCCGTACGCGTTACTCTACAGCTAGTATATTATTGATTGTTACAATTATCAATTGTGAAAGAGGTAACACGTCGAAAAAATAATTTATTTCGACATAAATTATAATAAAAGATTACACTTCTTTAACTTCGCATATGGCGCCGCAATTCAATATAAATGATGGATCGGTGACTTCAGAAATATATCGGGCGTTCTTCATTTTTCGCGAGGGTATAAATCTTCTTATTTTTCTCGGAGATTTTTTTTTGCGTGCTTTTT